AAATTTTGCAGACTGAGTCAGGGCTTCTTGCTAACCATGATCAACCTTGAGGCCTAGGATAGTGTTTGGAGCATAACTGGCCCTCAATAATTATGTGTTTGCTTAATGAATGGTGAAGCTTTGAGTAAATTCACCAGTTGAAGTATGAGAGCAGAGAGGAGTGGAGAGAAAATAAACTTGCAGTGGCTTGCTCACCAAGAGGAAAGCCCCAGTGAAAGCACCAAGAGCAGCATTCCCTCACCCTTTCTAAGGCTGCAGGCTTGTGAGGAGTCAAGGTGTCCAAAAGGTGGGGAGTCTTCCAAGCTGCCAATGCCACAGTGCAAGGCCAGTGCTCCTGCTGTCTCCAGGACAGAAGAACGATGCAGACTGACAAATTCCTCTGTTCATACTCCCAAACACATAAACTAATTGTGTCTTTGTCTTTAATCTAACAAATCATAGCCTGATTACAGGTCATTAGTAACCATTAATACATGAAACTGTTTGCCTTTCCTTGAATATCTGAACATAGCCCTGCCTTCCAAGAGGAAGCCCTCTTATGGGGCCTTGAGTAGCACTCACACAAATGAACAGTTAGTTTCTGGAACTGAAGTGCGATGCTGAAGAATTCACGATATGGGTTCACTGCTGTTCTGGTCCGTCTTTTCCTGTGTAGAGGAGAGCGCACTCTTTTGTGTGCCCACTTCTCTCCAAACATCCTCTGTCATTCCCAATGGCTGCTCAGGGTTGGCCAGCAACATGGACCTGCTTGTGTGACACTGAGACAGTCAGTCCCAGATTCACAACACAATGGCTGACTGGAGTCCTGATAAATGCAGGGAGCACACCGGGAGTTATCAGAAATACAGAAATGTCAGGAAAAGATTCCATGTGGCAAAAAGTGGAGGCAGAGACTAGGTATACACAGGCCAACTGGATGATCCTGAATTTTTAAAAGTGCAATCAGAGCTTTGGAGTAACCACATTAGGAGGCAAGATTCTTGAAAAGAACTGGATGATTGCCAAGCCTCCACTGCATTCTGTGCTGAGCAGCCACAGAAGGGCACGGAGTGATTCGCAGAGATTAACGCTCTAGGAATGTCAGTCTACGGACCTCTAACGTAGCAATTGCCATTGGGAACAAATCCATGGTCCATCCCATGTGATGTTCTGTCCCTCAGCGAATGCCACTTTTGACCACTAACGTGCTGAGGCCATGGAATTGAAGGAATTGCCAACAAGGCAGGGGATAGCACCATCTTCACTTGCTCTCCTGGGCTAGCCGCCACACATGGCTCAGTTTAACTGCATGGCAAAGGTTAGAGTTCCATGCAGTTTAAAATCCTCTTCAAATCAATCATCCTGCTCATCTTCACATCAGCCACATGAAACAGTTAGATTAGGAACAGTAAAGTAACAGTGGAGAAATGTAGGCTCTAAATAAAACTTGTCTGTGTTCAAATCCTAGCTTTACTACTAATAGCAGGGTGACCTTGAATAAGTCATTTAACCTTTCTAAGCTTCAGCTTTCTCATCTGTAAAACAGACTGTACCTAACTCATAGGGTGATTGCCAAACCCTAATAGGAAATGAATAGATGTTAAGTACTTAATATCCTACAAGGCACATAATAAGTGTTCAATAAATATTAACTGCTATTATGTATTTCTTTCTCCACCAGCAGCAGCAGTGCAAGCAGTAACCACTATGGTTTCTGTCTCCATCTCCCACAGAGAGAAAGGAAACCAAACATCCAAGGTAGACCTTCTCCTGAAGTCACCCAACTGCTACATAACTGAGGTAGGATTCTCCCATTGTCTTCTGACTACTGTTCTTCCTCTTAGAATACTTTTTACCTCTTTCCCTTCACCTGAACCCCTCCCCTCATCCCTCAGGTCTACCTGGTCGTCTTCTGCCTCATGAGCCTCTTACATCCTTCCACAGTCCCTTGTGCTCCCCCATCACAGAACTTCTCAGCTTACATAATTTCCTGTTGTCCTGTCTGCATCCCTACTATCCCACGGGTGTCTAAACAGAAGAGACCAAGTCTGTGTGTCACCCTCTTGCATCCGCAGTGCAGCACACAGCACCAGACACAGAGTAAGCACACAGTCAGTACTTAGCAAAAGGATGATGCCAGACTTTCAGACCAATCTGATGACACATATTAAATTACTATTTCTCACCGGGGCACATTATTTGATACATAATATTTCACATATTTATGGGGTACATATGATATTTTACTACATGCATAGAATGTGTAATGACCAAGTCAGAGTATTTGGGATATCGTCGCCTGTATGTATCACTCCTAATGTGCTGGGAACATTTCCAGTCCTCTCTTTTAGTTACTCTGGAATATACAATACACTGTTGCTAACTATAGTCATCCTACTCTGCTGTAAAACATAGAACTTAGACCTTCTATCCAACACTCAATTTGTACCCACTGACTAACCTGTCTTCATCAAGGCAATTCTAACCAAATTCTAATGGATTCCATTTCTGAAGAAAGTGGCTAAACTTGTGAAAATGACATCTTGAAGTGGCCCCTGCATTCTATTAAAACATGGGCACATCATTAATAAAACAAACAACAGATGCTGGCAAGGATGCGGAGAAAAAGGAACGCTTCTACACTGTTGGTGGGAATGCTAACTAGTGCAACTTCTTTGGCAGACAGTGTGGTGATTTCTGAAAGAACTCTGAAAAGTTGACCTTCCATATAACTCAGCAATCCCCCTGTTGGGACTATACCCAGAGGAACTAAAATCATTCTTTAAAAAAGATACCTGCACACGCATGTTTGTTGCAGCTCTACTCACAATAGCAAAAACATGGAACCAACCATGCTGCCCATCGAAGATGGATTGGATTTTAAAAATGTGGTACATATACACAATGGGATATTATGCAGCTGTAAAGAAGGACAAACATATGGGCTTTGCAGCAACTTGGATGGATTTAGAGTCTATCATACTCAGTGATTTATCACGGAAACAAAGAACAGAGTACCATATGTTCTCGCTCATAAGCGGATCTTGAACAATTATCATAATACTATAAGAAAGGGATTGGCAGTAGTGGCAAACAGCCAGGGGAGGGGGGTGGGATTGGCAGTTGGGGGAAACTGCCAGGGGAGGGAGGGGCATGCCTCATCAACAAGGGTACCTGCATAATGAACATTTTGTATACCTAACCCTGAATTGTATCCCACATCTTTAAAATTAAAAAAAAAAAAGCACAGGCACACATACACACACATATACATGCCTCATACTTATTCACCAAGCCATGTGCAATGCTCACACAGTTACCAGCCCTAAACATTTTGAAAAGGGCACTGTCTTTGCACTTGGAAAGAATTTTTCAGAAACATTTGGATTTGAAAAGGCACAGTAGGAAACAGACATTCATCCTTGCTATTCTTTCTCACAACAAGCTCTTACAATTCTGACTCTGAACCGTCTCTCACTTGCAGTTCTTGTGGTTTTAGAAATTTTGAGTCTTGATATATTACACAGGTCATAATATGTGACCAAATAGCAAAATACTTCAATCTTTCCTTTCTCCTGCCCTCTTGGAGGAGTATGGGACATAGAAGTTGGGAGCTCTAGGGAAGTCCACTCAAAGTCAATCCAGTTTCATCTCATCAAAATAACATTGTCAAGGACAAAGCAAACAGACTCAAACCCCAACCAATACGACATTGGAACACACTCAAATGTTACCTGGTGGCAGGATGGAAAAAAGGTACGCTGAAATTACAACAGATATAAACACTTTATTAAGCCAGACAGTTAAAGATAAATCTTCTACAGCAAAGGAAGAGCTGAACTCCACCCCATCCCACCAACACCCCAAGGTACTGTTTAAAAATAAACCCTGCTCTTTTATCATCATCTATAAAAAAACCACATTCAGAATTATCACCTGCATGGGGTTCATGTGAACATCTCACACGAAGGTTGCCAGTTCCTTTTGGACACTTGCGCCTCACACATCTCCACTGTGGGCCACTGAAGCACACACAGAGATGTGTGTGTGCGCGCACACACACACACACACACACACACACACACGGGGACTCACATACACTTTTTCTTTGCTCCTTTCCCTTTTGATCTTTGATGACCTTTAAATTTTGTTAGCTCTATGATAAATATTTGCTTGGAATCTTTCCCCCCTCATCCCTTTTATTAAAGGGAGCTCTTCTCTTGTGAATGTCTTACTCTTTGATCAGGATACAAAGCCACCTCTGTTACAAGCATCATCTCAAGGGAGAATCTCTGATGATTCTTTTTCTTAAATCAAAATATAGTTCTTTTGTACTAAATTTTGTTTTTCAGGCCCCCAAAATGCAGCCAGACGTGGAGGCTGGAAAACTAAATAGCCTCACCACACACAGTGTCAAAAAATGAATTAAAAAGGCAGTAGCAGTCTTCATGCTACCTCACCCTCATCCCAGCCAAGTAGAACTACTCAGGTGTGATCACGAAAGGGTTTTAGAACATTTGATACCAGCGAAAAGTTGTTGTTGCCCCTACACAGTGATTTCTAGATCTACTTTCTCATTGGAAATGACCCATTTAGTAAGGCTCTTCATTCTTCATTACGTGCAAAATACAATGCCCATACTGTCTCTCTCTTTACCTCCTGACCCCAAGCTCTTTTTCTTTGTTTGAGCAGTTAACATATCTGTCTTGTTCACTGGCCTATTGGACATACCTCTCTAGTATCAATAATACAGGCTCTACTTCTGTCTAGCCAATCTTCTCTCTCCTGTTAGCTTATAGCCAGTCATAATGTATCATCTCTGAGTATATTTGATAAAAATGTGTTCTTAGTTCTTAAAACAATAAGTCAACCAATGCTTCATATACATATTAATTTAATTTTTAAAATGTGAATTGATTTATTTGGGTCCTGCAGAACAACTTTTAAGCAACTGGATCTATTCAACACTTCTACATTGCTATTTTATTGGGAATAGTAGATATAAATAATAATGCTAATACCTTTATCTCCACAGGTGCTCTCATCTGGATGATTCATGGTTCATTATTGTGCTTCATTATTGGGTTCTCCCTTGGCTCCTGTGACAAACATGGGGTTCAGATCCAGACTCCAGGAGGCAGTGATGCTTCAACTTTTGGTAACACTCAGGTGCATGTCCATAAACTCCACCCTCACCCCCAACAGTCTCTCTGGGTGAGACTACTCCCAGTCTGTCAAAATCTGGGCTAACCAAGTGACACAATCAGCACTTCAAAGTCTCTTTGTGCTTCAGCCCCTCTGCTGGAAGTGGGCTGCCCTCAGACTGTGGAGACATAGACGGGATCTCAAAGTGCTGCCCTGGTCCAGCAGCAGCAGGACCTGGGAAAGTGTGGCCTCAAACTCTCCGACCCCATCATATTGGAAACCCTACGGGTGGGCCTTGAAGTCTGTATTTAGCAAACACCTCAGGTGGCTCTAATTCACATTAGAATTTGAAAATAACTGCTATGTAGCATCTAGGGAGACTGAGGAGGCTGCAGTGGTCGGGAGAGCTATCTTCGTACAGTTGAGGAGGGTCATGTGGACAGGACATGAGGTACTTTCGGTAAGACTTTATAGCATGGGGCCAAACAGGAGAGATGGCTGTGGTGTGCAACAACTTTTACACATTTGGAAGTACTCAGAAGCAGGAGCAGGTCATCTCACCAGTTGGAAATGTCTCCCTTTCTCTGGAAGTGTTCAGAGGTATGGGGTTTTACTCCATGAGAAGCCATGAATAAGGTAATATAAAAGAAACACTAAAAATAAAGACATAAGATTAAAAAAATAGACCTTAACGGGAAGCTTCAACAAACTACTAACACAGAGAGAGGTTTATAATTAATCTATCATCATTAATTTTTTAATATCTTAAAGCTATTATCTTTAACAACGACACTACTGATATTTATGAAGTAGATAATGGATTTTTACTTCCTCAGCGCTTTATTCCATATTCAGAAAAGGCAGCAGTTGGTTTAGATTTTCACAAGATTCCAACCCCAAAGATTATGTTTATTATTTAAAAGGGACCAAATCGCCACAAGCCATTACTGATATTGGATCAAAGACTAAGGCTGGGCTGTTGACTTATTTATCCTGTTTTGTAAGCAACTTTCTTTCAGCAGACACATTTTAAGACCTATCGGGAACTGTACCAGTATTCATGAAAGTGCAGCCTAATATTATTTAGCAATTAGTACGAATGATGCACCCAGGACTGTCCCCAGCACATGACATGCATTGTTGTATTTAATACTCATAATGACCTTCTCAAGTTAAACATTGAGAGCCCCATTTTATAGATGAGGCCCCTCTGGGCTTGGAGAGGTTGAATCACTCGCCCAAGGACCAAGACTTGTGGAGCAGGACACATGCCATTATCTCCAGAGTCTGTGTTCTTCACCACTGAAGTATATTTTTAAACAGGAGTCTTAGGTTTGGGAAAGTAGGAAGCATATATAGTCCAGTGCAAAAAATACTTATGAACACTCAATTCTTCTGGAAATATTAAAGAACCTAACAACTTACTGAACGTTTAATCTGTGTCAGGGACTGAACCAGTCACAGTTCAACTACTGTCTTACTTAATCCTCACGACAACCATAGAAGGTAGCTACTATTATTGTCCCAATTTTACAAATGGGCAACTTCAGCTAGAGGATTTGAGTAATAAGCCCATCTTCTCATTAAAAATTTCACTGCTTGCATAGTTCAATAGAAATAAGGCCAAAGATAAGCATAGTACATAAAAACCACTCAGTAAATGTAGCTTCCCTGCTCTTTCACTGTGTTTCTGGGGATAAGAAAGGTGTAGGTGAGGATAAATGTCTTTCCTGCATTTTCCTACTTGTTCCCAATGGCAGATAATTGCGAGTTAGATATTTTGGTGCAGTATACAGTCATGAAATAGAATTCAATCCACTGGTTTCTCCACCTTTGTAATCACCACATCCTAGGTCTTCAAGGCTTACACCACTGGCCAGGAATGTGACCCCAGAGACCCTTCCATTTGGCAAGAGTAACAATGAGTGACCTTAGAAAGGAGACACATCTCATACCCAAGACCAGCAATCAAAGGCCTAAGGCATCCCACGTTGTGCCACCCAGAGAACAACCTTGTGCTAAGTGTGTCTGTAGTCAGCGTCTTGCAGAGAGTCAGCAAGAATGAGCACTTTTTTTCCAAGACTGTAAGATTTCATCTAGTTGGGAGTTCAATGAAAGGTGATTTACCTAACACTCTAATTATCATGAAAAGTACACTACTTAGGAGTCAGAATCTCTGGACCTCAGAGATTCTCCACCATAAGCTATGCATATGATGACCTCTTTTCTCCACCATAAGCTATGCATATGATGATAGGGAAGGTGATTCGCTCCATGGGATCTCCGTTTCCTCATGAAAAAATGAGAATAAGTAAAAGTTGGTCTTCATATTTTTGGTGCATAGTAGATAAGAGCTGTGACAATACCTTGGGGAAATATAAAACCTCTTCCCAAGTGGAAGACAATTTTACTATTTTATGCAACTTCTTCCTTGCCTTAAACTTAGCAGCTAACTTATCAACCTGTTTAGCCAAATTGGTTCACTGATGGACTAGTTTAAAAAGCAAGAGGAAGAGGAATTCTTTTAACTTATCTACAGTACCAAAGAATATGAGGAACTATCTGCTCAGTTGTTTTGGTGGTTAAGAAAGAGTAAGAGTTAAGAATTAACAGTAAGGCCATTGGAAAGAGCCTTTAAAGCTTGGCAAATCCTCCAGATCAGCACATGTCAATGGGACATACCCTGAGAAACTTTTCTGTGAAAGCAACAAAGAATATCACCAAACGACTAGGTCAATGGGCAGTACACAAACACTCTCAGCAGCTCAACAAGGGGGCACAGTGTATTTTATCAAAGACACCTTTGGGTCCCAACTCAAATTTCAAAGTGCCAAGTTATTCTCCCTTGCTTGTCTACATTAGAGAACAGAATCTGATATATGAAGATTAGAATAGCAGTGGAAGGAGGTAGTGTGAAGGATGTTATTATGTAGGGAGAAAAAAGAAATCCCATCTGGAGTTCACCTTGATAAGATGAAGAAAAGATAGTATTTGGTACTACTGATGGTTTTTACATCTTTTTTTCTTTTTTTTCTTTTTTTGAGTTGGAGTCTCACTCTGTCGCCCAGACTGGAGTGCAGTGGCCGCTCCCGGCCACCGCAGCCTCGACCTGCTAGGCTCCGGCTATCCTTCTGCCTCAGCCTTCCAAGTAGCTGGAACTACAGGCGTGCGCTACCACGCCCGGCTGATTTTTTGCTTTACTGTAGAGATGAGGTCTCGCCAAGTTGCCCAGGCGGGTCTCGAACCCGCGGGCTCAGGCAATCCACTCACCCAGCCTCCCAAAAGCGCAGGAGGTTTTTACATCTTATTGGAGGGATTCAATCAAGAGATTTAAGAGCACAGACACAAAAATCAAAGACAATTTTTCTAGTGACTTTACACTGATTGTGGACTATGGTTTCCTCTCAAGGTATCTGCCATCCTGCATTTCCTATTATAGTTCTTTTCTCAAAATATTTTGTAGGTCCTCACAAACAGGTAAAACAAAAGCAAAGATCATGCTCTTCTAAGTATACATTTTCTTTGGGCCTATATCTGGAAAAGCATATTTATTCTTTCAAGTTGCTGGTTATGGGGCTAAAAAAATGGATTGCTTGATTAACCATTCAAACTCTGACTCTAGATCATCTTGCCAAGTTTCTTTTTTCAGTATACCAAAAATGGAAGACATGAAGGTTGCTTAGATCATGAAACCAAAGAGGGAATCAAGACTTTCAGACTAAAGCTAAGGTCATCTGAGGAGCAGATGGTGGCATTCTCCTGTTTAAGTTTCAGTGATACAATGTACCCATGCTCTGTCATGAACAGCCTCACTGCGATACACTTGACCACCTGCTCCCATGTACAATTGTTCTGGTAGTCACTAATCCACTGATTAAACATTTTAAGACTGGCTTTGGCAAAACATGCCAGAAATTCCTTCAGAGTAATTAAAACCACCTTCTGTGTCAATAAACATAGATTGTGAGATCTTTCACATGCAGAGAGGCTGGCTCTGACCTGCTGGATTTAGAACATTTTTTCTTAGATGGGGTTTCCATGATCACAATTGATTATCATGGACTCATCCAGACCCTGGTCCAACTCCATAATGAAATGATTGGCTAAGGTCAGAGACATTGCCTTACCTTTCCTGTTCTAGCCAAGACACAAGGACTGAAGGGGCTATGAATCTATGAGGCCAAGCTCACGGCCAAAGCCCTTTTATCGAGAGCTTCAGGTAAGATTCTTGAGCAAGAATCTTGCTACAGAATTTGACAGGCATAGTGTTCACTTGTCACTACTATTCCAGGGTTCAGACTGATTTTCATTTGAAGATTATTAATGTGTCTTCAAAGTAAAAGGAAGAACTCAGGTGAATATTTACTACATTGATATCCAGAGACTAGTCATATAGTAGATACTTCATGAACTGTTTTTCACCACAATGGCAGCTTTATTGTTTTATTATGTATATACCAATTGAAAGCTGTCATACATTGTAGAAAACATAAAAATAAATGGTAGAAATTACTTGATATTTCACCAGTCTGAGCTAGTCATTACTAATATTTTGATAGTCATTCTTTTTTTATTTCTTTTTTTATTAAGTGTATTTTTTATTTTAAAATTGTGGGGTACAGTTAAGGCTTAGGTACACAAATATGCATCGTTCAGGCACCCTTGTTGATAAGGGGTGTCCCCCCGTCCCCAGACAGATAGTGACTACCATTAATCCCACCACCCTTCCCCTTCCTGCCCCCCCATAGTTTCCTGCTACTGTCATTCCTTTTCTTATAGTATTACGATAGATGTTCAAGGTCCACTTATGAGTGAGAATGTGACAGTCATTCTTTCCATGGAATTATTTATGTACACACATACAATTTTATATAAAAGGAATCCTATTATACATACCCTTTTTATCATGGCTGAGGTTACCTTTAATTTTCATTACAAAGCAGCTGTGTTTGCT